TGTTTGTTACTATAATTAGTGAATAGTTGTAAAAGTGGTGTATTTTTATAAAAAAAATCTGCTTACATAGTTGATTGAAAAAATTGAATTTTTCGCTTTCGGAAAAGAAAAAAGTAGCCGTTGCATCAGAACTTTGAATGTTCTAAAATATCATGATGTCGGATTTTCAATATCTTTTCGAGTTTACGAGATCTAAACGGGATGGACGGACAAACAGACCACACAAAGCAAATAGCGTCTATTCTCCCTTCGGGGGCCGCTAAAAAAAGGCAATACCTCCATCATTTAACTTCAGATATAATATATTAATTTAAAAAATAATAAAAAAATATCTGATTCAATTCGGGTTTTGAACCCGTGACACCGTTAGCTATTTGATTTCCTAGATGTTGAACGCCCACATTTTTCTGATAAACTTAAGCTAATATTTATTGGTATGTTTATTATAGGGATATCTAGGTCTAACACTAGACCTAAAGTTATGATTTAGAACTCTTAAGATCTTGTCTAGAACTACTCCTAGATCTAGAATCTATTTGTAATCTTGTATTAGATTTACTTAACGCAACGCTTAAAAGCTTCAATAAAATTGAAGTAACTTACTGTTACTGTTATCGCACAATTACGGTAATACGGTTGACTACGCCGTGTTGGTTCTTGTCAGTCTAGACTCTAGACCTAGGTTTGTAAGTCTCTAGCCAAATTTACATTTATGTATATTTTACTTTGAAAAATTATCGCTTCGTCGTTGTGCTGGCCACATGACACTATGCTCGTTAACCGTTGACCAAAGAAACAGATGAGCTTAACATCATCTGTTCTATAGACCGCATGGTCTGAAAGCGGAACTTGAAAAATTATAACGGTCAAACTAGATTTTTCCCCATGTGGCCAACGAGCTTGTAATTCTTTTCTCAGCGATATGCATCAACTGTTATGGTTAGATCAGTACCCGTCTTCGACTCACAAACCTGCCATCATCGACTATCGCCTTCATTTAGCCATCACTAGATCTATTACTGACCACTATCTTTTGCCAATATTCGACCCACATAGCAGCTCCATCAAAATCTTTACCATTTTTGACAATCAGCATCATTCACCATCATCATTATTGACTGTCATTATGGACACAAGGCATGCTAAAATTCAACACCAGGATTCGAGCACGTGACAACGCAAAAGTCAATCGCTTTACCACTCAGCCAGCAATAGACCAACAACATGCCGGATGATTGCTACAAAATCAAAATTGTTTACCGAAATGCCGCCAACTTCTAGACTCTGACGACTCTACAGTTTACAATGTTTGCTTCCATTTAATTTCACCTATGATTCCTCAAAAAGGAACTCGCTTTTGGTTGTGATGGCTGATTAAGATGAAGAGACCGTCATATGTCTCTTTCTATTTCCTCCCCTCGAGTTATCGGCCTTGCCGGGGCTACCCATCAATTCCCTAGATTCCCGAACAATGACTTCAACATTTCCTGTTGTTTTTTCGCGTCAGTCAACATCACGTGATTTAATGAAAAGACTCCCCCCCCCCCCCCCCCCCCCCCCATATTAAAAATAGGGATGGCAAAGGAACATAGGCCTAATGTCTGACACAACTATTGGGATGACACAGCAAGATTTGTGTCCTGACATACGTGATTCATTTCTGCCTTTGATCTAGCTAAATATTTAGCAGGACACAAGAATTGGCATCTTAAATATTTCTTATAATTTAATGTATATAGCGCTATTAACAAAGATAATGTAAGCTCAATGCGTTCTGAGAACATAAGAGACAATACAAAAAAAGAGTTAAAATACACTACTAATCTAATTTCCTAGAAATGCCCCTTCTTGCCTGATGTCCTTAAAGCATGAAACGGGTTGCCTGAATCAGCCAGGAAAACCAATGTCTCTATCAGGTCCTCTAATTAACACGCATAATTAGATGAACACATGAATATACACAGCACAGGTGTATAGGTATTGCTTTGAAGGAACGTATGTAACCTTCTTATTTTATCTTATCTTATAAATACAGACGTTACTTCAAAAAAGAAGATGATTACGTCCTACGCGTCATGCATCTTATCATGCATGTTAACCAACGACTTAAATTCTGCCAAATCTTTACCCTAACCGGCTGGCTCAGGCAACCCATCCCATGTTTTAAATATGATGAATAAGTTACATAACAGGTAAGTTCTGATATGCTTCAAGAACGTATTGGCGAATGTAGTTCATCTAAATTTGATGTGGTAGGAAACGAGTTCCAAACCTTTGTTTTGTGTACTGCTAAGGTCCCCGGCATAACGCTGTGAAAGGAAACTAAGGCGCAACTAGATCTATAGTCTGATAGTCAATGGATCGTTTGGTACTCTGAGGGATATACTAAAGGGACATTACAGAAAAAAAAGAATACATGTATAGGAATATCACAGTCCCTTTAATTTTTTTTTATAATTCAATGTGCAAAAAATATTGCTTTGTGTGTAGTGGTGTAGATGGAACGCTGTGTGATGTCTATTTTTTTCCTGTAACCTAATTATGTGTTATCCCCCTTTATATTGATGTAATCTTATGCAGAATTGCGTCTTTACATACGGGATAGACTAAAACCAAGATGGCTGGATAAATAATTGTAATAAATAAATAAGCTATAAATAAATAAAATTAACGAAAGTGTAACTAAGAATAATAATGTCACTTATTTAAACTAATGCAATATTGCATAATGTAAAACACCGTGGTCCTTCTGAATTTTGTATTCACTATACCAGTACCAGTAATTAAGTTTTGGTAATGACTAGCTCACGAATTGGGTGCAATAGTAATTCATCCAGAACCGGGTGTAACATCTTTTAATCACGAGCCTGTTGTAACATTATTTCATAATGAACTTTTTTTTTTCATAATGAACCGGGTGTAACATTAGTTGATAATGAACCGGGTGTAACATTTTTCTTTATCATGAAGGCAGTGTCACGGACAATGTTGACGTATGGGATCATTGTCTTTTAAAACGAGGCTCTTTATTCATTAATTCAAAATTTGATTGGCTGGCAGGCTAGCCTCGCTTTAAAAAACACTTCGACGATGATTGGTTAAGTGCGGGTGATATCACGTTTCATAAAAGCATTGGTCGACGTTTGCAACGTGACGATGGTTTGTTAATTGTCTGGTTCAATTAGTCTGCTTTTCTGTGGTCTAAATTGTAGAGATCTGTCACAGTAACTGAGTGCTAGGAATTGGGTTAGGTATAAGGACAGACTTTTTCTTAAAACCACTATTAGGATTTTGTGTAGGCTTACCATTAGAGTTGGCATTAGTCTAAGCATTAAAGTCTGGGTTGATATGTAGATAGTTGTGTTTTTTAGAAAACAGGGCCGGCCTTAGAAGTTGGAGGCCCCAGAAGAAATAGAAAAAATAAAAAATAAATAGTGAAAAACTAAAATTAAGCAATTTATTAAAAGCCTAGTGTATCCCAACGATAACATCTAGGACAAGTTTCGATATTTCTTCTTCCTGTGCTAGCAGTGGCGTAGCTAGGGATGTTGTTGGGGCGCGGGAGAGGGGCTTGACCTCTTTAGGGGCCCCTACATTTTGACATTTGACATCATGACAGGAGATAATGGCGTTATATATATATATATATATATATATTGTAAAAACAAAGTTCCAGCTAAACCACTGTGTGCTAGGCTTCTACCAATCGGTCGTCACTGCTGACAATTAAACGAGTTCACAGCGGTTTAACCTAATCACATTAAAGAATATACAGGGTGTTCTTTTCGTCCATGTTTATAGCAAAAGATGTCAAAGGTCGAGTCTCAAGCGTCACTACTGAATCTCTCCGTTGTTCACTGCCAAGCCCTAATGTCACATCAGTCTCCTAAAACAACTATTTTGGTCCTAGTTTATCAGCTTACTAAATGTATCCTAAACTACTAGTCGAGATTTCCAGGATAAACTAAACAATGTCAAGGGTGCTAACTTGAACTTCAATGTTGCCAACTAATAACATAAAACTACAAACTTCGGAAATTTGATTCTGCAGGGCTAAAAACTGCACAAAAAGAATCATATAATGAAAGAAAAAACCTAACTTATCGACACTTTCTTTATTCTGTACACCGGATACACCAAAAAAATTTACTCTTTATGGACTAACCTACGTGTATCAAAATCTTCATGGCAACATTTCTAATACGCGTACCACTATTAGCCTAGTTAACATATTGGGTATTTTTCACAACAAAAAAAAACAGCGTGAAGGGAGCTAAGTGAAATTCATTGCTGACAACTTCTTAAAAAAAAAAAAAAAATTTGAAATACAAAACGGAAGAGCTTGGAAAATTTGATTCTGCAAACATAAAATTAGCTCAATGCGTAACGAGGACAAACATTACCATAAAACATTCTACAAAAAAAAAAAAAAACATGTCTTAACACTACTTTTATTTTTGTACACCGGTTACACCCAAAAGCTAGTTATTTAGCAAAGCAAGCTCAGATATCTCACAATACAATACTTAAGACAAAGTATTGTCTCTATCAGACCAGCTATGAAAACTTCGTCGGCAAAGATGAGCATAATTTTATTTTTCTATGTACAAGAGGTTCAGGACAACCTATATATTCTGTGGCATTTTACGTCTCAAGAGACGATCTTTTCCCTTTGCAACTTCTTGTGTGACTAAAGAGGCCAATCCTTGACACACAGCTGCGATCGCAGGATGGGCATATATATATATATATATATATATATAAACAAAGATGGTTGTGAAGTCCCCATATTGTAGTTAATTAACATTGAAGTTTACATATTATTATATTATTTTATTCCCTATTCTCCTTAGTATTGAAAGTTTAAAACTTCCGAAATTGGAGAAATTGATTTGAATGTGGAATTATTTACTCGACAACCTGGTCTGCCTTGATTTATTTTAAATCCCATTTTTATAGCACATGTGCATGCTCAGTGCACCATGGCCCCATCTCTTTGTGGATACATGTGTGTGTGTGAGAGGGGGGGAAGGGCTTTGTTCGGATTTAAAGGTAATTACATCCTTGTCCCAACCTCCTGCGGGAAGACGGGGGACGGCAGCGGGCAGTGTTAGAACCATCGAGACCATCGAACAACAGTCCAGAGCGCATGCCACACAACAACGCAGCCATCTAGGAGCGGATATCTAAAAGGACGTTTCATCCTGCCTTTAGGTGGTCAGCAAACACAACTCAGTTCGGGTCTGGATTCAAACTCAAGCCCCCTTATACAAGTAGCCAAACATATTTGCAACACATTTTAATTTTTTGTTCATTATCTCACATATAAGTTAATACTATTTCTAGATGACTAGTTTCAAGATTATTCTTTAGGCATGTTCTGGACTTAATGAATAGAACCAGGTCTACAATGAATGAAATGCATGTGACTTTTGAACTCTTGTATATAGTTTAGTAAATAAATTTAAATTGGTAGGACATTATGTCTAGAGTCTTAGGAATAAAATAAAAAACATCAAGATAAGGATCGGATTGAAAATTCCTTTACGAAACAGGTGGTCACATTCTCATGGTCGTCATAGAATTTATGGGACTTGAACATGTCATTGTAAGTGGCTGGGAGGCGCGGTAAAGCGCTTGACTTCCGAACCGGGGGTCCCGGGTTCGAATCCTGTGAAGACTGGGATTTTTAATTTCGGGATCTTAGGGCGCATCTGACTCCACCCAGCTCTAATGAGTTCCTGACATTAGTTGGGGAAAAGTAAAGGCGGTTGGTCGTTGTGCTGGCCACATGACACCCTCGTTAACCGTGTGGCCACAGCAACAGATGTTTACATCATCTGCCCTATGGATAAGGTCTGAAAGGGGAACTTTAGAACTACTGCCATTATAAGTGCATTCAACTGCATGTAGGATCATCTAAGCATGAGGTGCTGGAAGTTATCTTAGCATGACCTGCTGGAAGTTATTTTACCATTAAATGTTAAAAGCTATGCCTGGAAACGCGATAAACATTGAAACACTTTTTAAAAATAGTCATTTTTAAAGCAATTTAAAACAAAAACGAATATCTGGGGAGGTATCTACAATTAGAATAGGGAAAAAGAGATATGGGGAGGTAAAAAGTTAATTTGGGCTCTGCTATGTAGAAGGGGTGAAATGAAAACCTCTACTTACGAAATTCGTCCATGACAGCATCGTGAGTTCTTTACTACAACCACACTTCTGTTCAATATATTTCAATGCGGTGATGCCCAACCCAATTCAATCTGCGGCCATTTTAATTTCCAAAACTACTGTCGCGGGACACATGATGGAAAAGATACAAAAAACGTAATGAAATTGACCTGAAACTATTTTATTTCAAGTCCGAGGATCTAGTACTTACATTGAATTATTGCGATACTTGAATTTTCTCTTTACATTTAAAAAAAACTTAAAATCTGTTTGTATTTTGTTGTTCTTGTTTTTGTTTTTTTAAACAGCCACACTTTCTTTATAAAAACAAACATGTTGGCCAGCCATGGTATCATGTTGTACAAAAAAGTAAAGATCCGTTCACTTTTCCTAGTAGATTCTATAGTCCTATTTCATGAACGCACAAATGTTAAATGCCTTGGTAGTAATCCATTAGAAAAAAAAATGAAGACCCTAACGGGGGAAAGGGGGGGGGGGGCTACATTTTATGCGGGCCGGATGGAATCACGTCGCGGGCCGGATCTGGCCCGCGGGCTGTATTTTGGGCATCACTGTTTTAATGCAATAACGACCACAGCCCACCGAGCCTGGAGCAAGAATAAACTGTATAGCTCAGAACGTGTTGTTCATCGACTTTTAAAATGTGAGCAACTTCGCAACTATAGCACCTATTATAGATCTATCTTCGGTTAGTTTTTCATTGGAACCAGAGGAACCTTTCAATATGTTCTCAATTCGCCCCATTTTACACACGCAGGCCAGTTTGTGTGCCCTTTCTACCAAAATATAAATGTTTATCCTTTCGTCAACTCAGACTAATCAGAAAGAAAAACAACTCTGCTAGGTGTGTCTAAAGATTTGAGTTAGGCCTGCATTCAAAGAATGTCTTTTTTTTTTTTACTCTTCTATGTGATTGTTTATACTTCGTGTGTTGTTGTTTTTTAAACTGAGAACTATTTTTATAGAGCTGTTGTTGTTTTTTGTTGTTGTTGTTGTTGTTGATGTTTTTTTTAAATTGACATTGTTATTGCTGAACGTTGATGTGTAGTCACGTTACCGTTCTTGCCACAGTTGTTTGCGTGTTTTAAAAGCAGCCACAAGAAAATAATTAAACTATCGATCGAAACATTGTGGTTTCTCGTTCGACCTTGCCAGACATGCCGGCCAAGAGAATAATAAGCGTGTGAAGATTCTAAACATTTCCTGCTCTGCCTTTTCCATTTCGCGCACGGTTCTAGAACTATGAGCATATAGATCTAGGTCGATGTATTACTACGCATGCCTCAGAAATGAAATGTTCAATTCGTAAGTCAATTGATAATAAGGCAGATAAATGTCGGGATTCATTTCTAACATGTATCTATGTATCATAACTATGATAATCATAATGATATAGCTAAAAGATGTGAAACATCTTACTGAAGCTATTCAAGTCAGCAGCATGACAATAACAACAAAAAACTGACCAACTTACCTACTTTCTACAACATCTCTTCGCAGTAGCGGTCAGCACTGGATAAACCAGAAAGAGCTGGACATCTCCCCGGGCAGAGAACCACTAACTCCGGAATTTCTCCACCGATAAGACCGGCGACAACGCTAGCAACGATATTGGCCAGGGGAAAAAAAAAGAATACTATGGCCTCCTCACCGCGGCCCTCGTGTTTCATTGGCGCAAAATGAGGTCATATGTAAATGGCCACGAAGATTTCCCGCGCTGCTCTTCCTGTTTCTCAGCTTCTTCCTCTGCCTCCATCTTTCATCGTTTGTTTCAGTAATTAAATATGCATTAAAATATAGTCAAGTTATCGCCAAAGTACTGATTGTACTAAGATTGTTTTTTGTTTCTGATAAACACGAATCTGTAATTCTACGTGCAGTACCCTTGACAATGATAAATTTGTGACAAGGGGGGATAAGAAGCGGGGAAGTAACCCTATTTTTTCTTGTACTTGAAGCTGGATTTATAGACTGGTTTGCGCCATCTTTTTTTTTTTCTTGTGCGGTCGAGAAAAGTGGAACATGTAAGTTTCTTCCGAAGGATGCAAGGGGCGGAGGAGAGATAAAGTATTACTCTTGTAATGTACATTCCACAGTTTCGTTGGCCAAGAAGCACACAATAATTGTAACGTTCTAGACTTGTAGGCACAGGGCCGGATTTAAGCTAGTTAGGGCCCTAAGCTATGTGAGATATGGGGTCCCTTATAAGCAACAAAAGAACAACTTTTCATTTGATGTTTCTTCAAAATGTTTGAATTTATCACTGGAACCTTTTTTTTTGGGGGGGGGGGGGCACTACGCAAGTAATATGGGACTATAGATTGTGTTACCTTATTGCCTAGCCCCTATAGGTAAATCAATCACTAAGTTGTCACTACACCTTCCATTCAATAAAACTTATAGTCTCATTGGTTTGTGATTGATGTAATGGTTAGCTAAACAGCCTACTTGCACTTTAAAGGCTATAAATAACACAACGCTGTAAAGATACATCATTCAACATTAGATTGTGATCGTAGTGTCGAGGTTCAAATCTCTTCAGATTTAGAGCACTTTGAAATCATAAGAGAAAATGGTTTTAAAGGGAAGATTTTTATAGCGTACAATACCCCCCTGCTTCCTGCACTCATATGAAACTTCAAAATAAAAGACTAACAAGAAAAACATGAAAAATTATTTTAAAAACATAACAAAATAAAGCTTACATTAAGTGCAATTGTATCAAATAGCTTGGATCAGTCATTTAATTGTTTGTACAATTGACCGTATACTAGGATATATTACTACAAGTTTTCTTTCTTCTCTAGTTCCATTACAGTTTCAAGGAATCAGCCAGGAGAACCAATGACTTAGCAGACTTTAGGTCTCTAATTAGTATGCATGACTAGATGGATATTTGTAAAACGTAATTATCTTCTCCATTCAAGAAAGGTCTGAAACAGGGGCTAGCTAGGAATTTTCCATCATTTGGGGGCCCAGGGGAGCTTGACCTCTTTGGGAGCCCTTGCATTTTGTGGGGCCCGGGAGGATTTTCAAATTATTCCCCTCCTCCCCCACCCTAGCTAGTCTGAAATGTATAAGATAAAATAAGAGCGCTTAGCCGTTCTACGTGAAATTGTGTGCTCTGGTTCGTCTTACCACTAAGGTGCTCACTGAGACACAGTTTGGAGATTCACAATCTAAGTGCGTGGAAAGTCGCCGATAACAGCGAGCATTCTAGAATAGAAAGGCAAACACTGAACTTGCAGCTACCACACTAATAAACTACCCATGTACACCAAACAGCCAAATCGTCTTATTGGGCGATGCCAAAACAGTCCTTCAAAGCCTGAAAAACTCTGACACTTCTTATATAAAACAACACAGGGTAGCTCTTGTAATTCTTAACATCTACAGTAAGGAAACTGCTCTTTAATGGATTCCAGCAAACATTCAATTAGAAGGAAATAAAAAAAAGCAGACATAATGGCCAAAGATGGAAGAATGAACAAACAAATGAAAATCCCTCTCTACCCAGAATAAATGATGAAAATAATAGAGTGTAGAATAAATGAGAATTGGACCAGCTCACACCTCAATTACAAGAAAAAGGACACCTCTAACAATCTATCTCGTCATGACCAACGCATAATTTTTCGACTCAGAACCGGACACATCAGAATGAGACAACATATGTTCCGGAAGCTTAAAGTCGGGACGAGCTTAACCTGCCCTTGTGGAGCGTCACCAGAGAATGCTATCCATGTCCTTCAAAGCTGCATACTATATTAAGAGGCCCGAACAAGACTCTGGCCCCAAAACCTTCCCATAGAACAAAAAGTATTCTGAGAATTGCCTGATCTGGAAACCATTGCGCAGTTCATCTCAGATATCTG